TAACTTTTCAAATGACTGTTGGAACACAGCTTCGTAAATGAACAGGTTTATAAAAACTAACCTATTAATGGCTCTCATACAGTACTCTTCTTTGCGTGTTTTACATGTTACATCAGTCATTTATGAGCCAAAAAGAAATCAAAACATGACCTTGAAAAAAGTTATAAAAACAGAAGTCGCCCGATATGGGACTTGAACCCATGACCCTCAGATTAAAAGTCTGATGCTCTACCGACTGAGCTAACCGGGCGGCTCATAACAGCCTTGCGTTAATGAAGATGTCCATTAACCATTGCTAAGCGGGATATTTCAAGAAAACGAAAAAGTAAGAGTGCCTTCGTGAAATCAGTTAATCTTCTCTGATTCTGTTTTTGTAGGAAAGATGCTTCGAATTTTATTTGTGCGTCACCAGGCGTGATAAAAGCATACACTCATGCGTAAAATACCAAACGCGGCAGTTTAAAATGCAGACTGCGGAGTGACTGCGAACCATTGTTTTTAAGGTGAGAAAGAGTGGGACTATTGTTGTCACGTTCTCATTTGCATGTTGAAAAACAATAGTCTGTAGTCCGTGTTTTACACTGACCGATACCAAACATGTTCATTAGACTTAAGACTGAACTGTTTACAAGACAACAGGACTTCAAATTCTTTTCACTCTCTCACTCATGGTAGCTATTGCCCTTAGAAGTGTCGACCTGACAAAAAAATAAAAAAAAATAGGTGAGCAGGGAACACCAAAAATTGTCTGCCTCGTTCCTAGTCGTCTCAAGTGTGTTTGAAAAACGGAAAACTCGATTGCGAGCGATATGATAAGATCGCCCAATGGGCCATGAAAACGCACGTTTAGCGTTGACGAAAAGGACGCTGGGATGGGTGAACGAGAAAAATGAGATTTTGCCTTTCCCATGATACCTAGCACGAAACCTATAATCGCTCCAGTCGCTCTCGAATCACTCTCGAATCCGCTAGAATACGATTGGGTACGAGGCAGATATCTTGTAGCTCAAAACAATCTCGGCAGAAAAAAAAGGAACGGCGTAAGGCGCAGTCCCTCTACCTTTGCTAGAGCTGTAGAGGTTTAACACGTTTTGCGAATAAGAAATAGCCAAATTACTGATTAAAATTATGGCAAGAATAGCAAAATTAAACCTCGAATGATCACGACTACCATTTGAAGAATATCTGCTCCACTTAAGGCGCTACAAATGGTTCTCTTCGGAGACGTGGGTGCAAATCTCATCACTACCATCTACACTTTCCAGTCAAAGTAATCCAAGTGTGAAAAATGGTAAAAAAAACTAGTAATAACCAACAGGAGGGCATTTTGTATGCGCATGCGTCAATAAGGGCTGTTGAAGTGCCACAGAGGCATTTTCTGTGAATTGTTTACGTTCAGTACCAGCATTTGTAGGCTGTTTTCTGGAGCTGAATGACGTGTATTATGTGCTACGTTCCACAAACGTGTTCTTTAAGGTATCGTGGTATTTCTACGATGAAAGGGAGTTTATTGCAGCCTCGCTGTCGCCCTTGAGAGGACAGTCTTTCCTTTCGTAAAACAGTACATCGAAGACAAGATGGCGGCTGAATGTTCTTACGACCTAACATTTCGTGCACATTTTTTGAGCAGGAGGAAAAGGTCAGTATGATAATTCTTCGTTAAACAATTATCTTACAGATACTTAATTCTCCTGAATAGTATAACTCTAAAATCGAACTTAACCGTTCCAGGAATACAGTGGTTAATTAAGTGTCCATTCTGCCGTTAAACTGTTTTTCACCCTTTCGCTGGCTTGTTTATCTCGAAATCTTGCCTTTCTCCCCAAATTAAGTTAATGATTAATGAAACCAAGAATACTTCCGCGAATGAATAGCACTTTGATGAAGGCTGGGAAAAATCGCCTTCTGCAGTAATTTTGGCTTTCTTCACCGGTACGTCTTCGTTGAGAAATAAAATACGCGCACTTCAACTATAAATTTAAATCAATATAATGATCCCAGTAAGATTGTGTTTTGAAAATAAGAATATTCTGTCATTTAGTTATACAAAGGAAAAAAAATTACAGCAATCGGTTTGAATTATGATTTTTTTCCACCTTATTTTGATGGTATACTGTTTGTTTACATTTCATTATGCAAATAAATATAACATTTTGGCGTTTTAAAGAAAATCTAGCCTAACTCCCCAACCCCAAAATAGCACGAAATGAAACGTTATCAATATACTGTTTAAATAAATCCTGGCTTCTGTTGCAAAAAAATTGCATTTATTCCTAAATGATACCATTTTGTGGATACTACATTTGTTGATATGCTAATTTGTGAGACATTTCACTCACAAATGATGTTGAATGAGACCAGCTTCTCGTCTGTATTGAACCGCATTCTTGTTTAATGCATCAGTTTCTGCTTGATAATTTTTCCATAGTGTACAACTTACATAAGCGGTTCATCTGGATACAGTAAAAAGCTCCCAACAGAAACATTAATAACAGAAAAA